TCCCCCTTGTATAATTGATGTTTTCGCTCTTATATAATTGTTCTATTTTCCCTCTTGTGTAAACTGCTATGTAACTGCAAGTGCCATAAACTGCTTCTGTTTCTGTACAAACCGATTATGAACAGTTGGTGGCTTGCTCTTTTGCCAAACTGCATGTAGCCCCTGATAGTATAGATAATTTACCCCATATAAACCCTTTACTCTTCACAGCCATACTACTGTTCCTCTGTATCGACGTAGAGGATTAGGCCAACCTAATAAAGACTCCTAAATTGGCATCAGAGAATTGGTGTCCTTGGTAGTCTTTTAATCTCCCACTCTGTAACAGTAGTGTTGTACCCATCGTGACCTGAAAAGATAGACTCTAACCCCACTTAGATGGCAGGGGACCAGTGCCCTGTGATGCAGAGGCCCTGAAGTGGAGGGCAGGTTGTCTTTTATACTCTTTTTGCATAGCTAAGAAGCGAAAAGTTGTGGTTAGCTTGGGGGCGGGGTTACAGCCTGGGTAACAACGGATATGGTCTGGGTAACACAGCTTAGGTATGTTTCCCACTATTGTTTGTTCACCAGGGACTAGGGGATTTTTTTGTGAAACTTGGGACTTCTCGTGCTTCTTTATTCTGAAGCTTTTGCTCAGAATCGACCCTGAGGGAGTGGGCAGGGGAATGGGCTGGGAGCTTGCTTGTGGGGCGGAGGAACGGGCTTGGAGCTTGCCCATGACATTAGCTCACAGCAACCTCAAACTCTTGGGTTCACGTGATCCTCTTGCCTCAGTTTTTTCTTTATTTTTTTATTTTTATTTTTTTAGAGACAGAGTCTCACTTTGTTGCCCTTGGTAGAGTGGAGTGGCAGTCATAGCTCACAGCAACCTCCAACTCTTGAGCTTAGGGCAATTCTCTTGCCTCAGCCTCCTGAGTAGCTGGGACTACTGGTGCCTGCCACAACGCCCAGCTACTTTTTTCTTGTAGTTTGGCCAGGACTGGGTTTGAACCTGCTACCCTTGGTATATGGGGACAGCACCCTACTCACTGAGCCACAGGTGCTGCCCAGTTTTTCATTTTTAGTAGAGACGCGGGGGGGGGGGCGTCTAACTCTTGCTCAGGCTGGTCTTGAACTCCTGAGCTCAAGCGATCCACCTGCCTTGGCCTCTCAGAGTGCTGGGATTACATGAGCTGCCCTTTTTTATTATGTGCCTAGAAGGTGTCTGGCTCCTTCTGCTTCTTTTCGGAGATGAGTCCATGCTCATCACTGACTGCTTTTCCACTTCCATCATTAAAGCACTGGCCTTCTTCCTTTTCCTTGAACGTACCAAATGTATTTCCAAGCAATGCCTTTGTACTTGTTCTTTCCTATCTGTAGAATACTGCTCTCCTGCCTACTTTGAGGCATGGTAAGTATCAGTGATCTGTGCTTCAGCCTTCAGAGACTTTTTTGGGGGATTCATTGAGGGTACAAAGAACCAAGTTGCATTGATTGCATTTGTTAAAGACCCTCTTATATAATTGTGTTCCATCCCCAAAAGGTGTTCCACCACACACTGTGATCCCCCCTCCCTCCCTTCCTCTCTCTGCTCTCCCTGTGTACTACTCACTGTGTACTAGGTCTCATATCAGAATTGAATAGATAGGATTCTTGCTTCTCCATTCTTGTGATGCTTTACTAAGAATAATGTGTTCTCAGCACCTATAGCTCAACCGGCTAAGGCGCCAGCCACGTACACCTAAAGTGGCGGGTTCGAATCCCCAGCCAAGACCCACCAAAACAACAGTGATGGCTGCAACCAAAAAATGGCTGGGCGTTGTGGCGGGTGCCTGTGGTCCCAGCTACTTGGGAGGCTGAGGCAGGAGACTCGCTTGAGCCCAGGACTTGGAGGTTGCTGTGAGCTGTGACGCCACGGCACTCTACCCAGGGGGACAGCTTGAGGCTCTGTCTCAAAAAAAAAAGAATAATGTGTTCTACTTCCATCCAGGTTAATACAACAGATATATAGTCTCCATCTTTTTTAGTGGCTGAATAGAATTCCATGGTATATATATACCACAGTTTGTTAATCTATTCCTGGGTTGGTGGGCTGTTTCCACATTTTGGCCAGAGACTTTTCTTTCTTTCTTTTTTCTTTATTTATTTTTTTTGTAGAGATAGAGTCTCACTTTATTGCCTTCGGTAGAGTGCTATGGCATCACAGCTCACAGCAACCTCCAACTCTTGGGCTTAGGCGATTCTCTTGCTTCAGCCTCCTGAATAGCTGGGACAACAGGCACCCACCACAATGCCCAGCTATTTTTTTGTTGTTGCAGTTTGGCCAGGACCAGGTTTGAACCCAACACCCTTATTATATGGGGCCAGTGCCCTACTCACTGAGCCACAGGCACCACCTGGCCAGAGACTTTTCTAAAAGGCATTGTCTCCTCACTGATGAAAATTCCAACTATTGGCTCAGTGCCCACAGGACAGTGGTTATGGCATCAGCCACATACACCATGGCTAGTGGGTTCAAACCCAGCCGGGCCAGCTAAACAACAGTGACAACTACAATCAAAAAATAGCTGGGCGTTGTGGTGGGTGCCTATAGTCCCAGCTACTTGGGAGGCTGAGGCAAGAGAATCGCTTAAGCCCAAGAGTTGGAGGTTGTTGTGAGCTGTAATGCCATGGCACTGTACTGAGGGTGACACAGTGAGACTCTGTCTCAAAAGAAAATTCCAACTATCCAGAGCAAGTACCACCCCCCAACTGTAATGCAAAAACGTGACATAATTCTATATGGCACATAAACCCTACATGCCACCCCATATCCCACTCAACAAACCCTAAAGAGAACACATGCCCTGTGGGGTGGAGTGGGGAGAAAACTGTCCTATTTGACATTCTTCTGGGGAAAGATATGGAAGTGTTAAGTCCAGCTGACTGAAACATTTATGCATTTGTAGTATTTTATATTTTAAAATGCTATTTATACCCTGTGTTATTTTAGAAATAATTTAAAATGGGCTTATAAAATATATAAAATAGAAAATAACATAGACATCGGGTGGCCCAACATTTGTCCACTACAATTTTTTTTTTTTTTTTTTTTGAGACAGGGTCTCACTCTGTCACCCTGGGTGGTGTCACATCCTCACAGCAACCTCAAACTCTCTAGCTTAAGTGATCCTTTTGCCTCATCTTCCCAAGTAGCTGGGACTACAGGCACCTGTCACAACACTTGGCTAGATTTTTTTATTTTTAGTAGAGACCAGGGTGGGGGTGGGGTGTATGTGTGTGTCTTACTCTTGCTCCCACTCGTCTCTGAACTCCTGAGCTGAAGCAATCCACCAGACTCCGCCTCCCAGAATGCTAGGATTATAGCTGTGAGCCACCATGCCAGGCCCACTACAACTTCCAAGATGCACCTAGTATGTCTGTGTGCTTAATTTTGTTTCTGTCATGATAGTCTGAGCTACCGTCACCTTGTACTTGGAACCACATTCTCACTGGTCTACTTGTCCCTTCATGTTCCTTTGCAAACATTTTCCACAGCCAGTAATCTCCAAACATGATCCCATTTCATCACTCCCTCCATCCAAATAAGAATAAACATACCTTTTATCAGCTAAGGAGAGTTAGAAAACTGTTTTTATTAAACATCAATGTTTCCGAGCTTTTTTTTTTTTTTTTTTGGAGACAGAGTCTCACTTTGTCACCCTTGGTAGAGGGGCTCAGCGCCAGCGGCTCAAGCTGCTAAGGTGCCAGCCACATACACCTGAAATGGTGGGCTCGAATCCAGCTCAGGCCCTCCGAACGACAATGATGGCTGCAACCAAAAAATAGCTGGGCATTGTGGTTGGCACCTGTAGTCCCAGCTGCTTGGGAGGCAGAGGCAAGAGAATAGCTTGAGCCCAGGAGTTGGAGGTTGCTGTGACTTGTGATGCCACGACACTCTACCCAGGGCGACAGCGTGAGGGTTTATCTCAAAAAAAAAAAAAAAAAAAAAAGTCTAGTCTTGGATTCCCAGTGTCACCCTTGGTAGAGTGTTGTAAAGTCTTAGCTCACAGTAACCTCAAACTCTTGGGCTCAAGTGATTATCTTGCCTCAGCTTCCCAAGTAGCTAGGACTATGGGTGCCTGCCACAATGCCTCGCTATTTTTTAGCTCAGGCTGGTCTCCAACTAAGCAATCCGTCTGTGTCTGCCTCCCAGAATGCTAGGATTCTAGCCATGAGCCACCTCCCCCTGCCCCAGAGCGTTGGCTGTATGTGGCAACACGTAGCCTTTCCAGAGTCTGCTGCACCATTGCACTTAGAAGAAATCTCCATTGCTAGCAGGAATGACAAGGCCCTGCATGATGTGGCCCTTGCCTGCTTCTTCAGTCCCATAGTTTGAAGTCCTTCCCTTTACTCATTTTGTTTTAGCCTCAGTGTCTCTGACCTCCCACTCCAGTTTCTTGGATACATCAAGCCTTCTTTGTCTCTGAGACTTACTCTAAGTTGTCCTTCCTCATGCCTAGAAGATACCTGGCTGCTTCTGCTTCTTTTCAATTAAAAGTCTTTTTATCAAAGAGACATTTTCTGACCTCTTATTTAGACTAGTGTCTGCTCAGTTATTCTTTTTAACATCATCTCAAGATTTTATTGTCTTCATGATAAAACAAAAGATGTTTAGAACTGTATCAGTTGGCCCTTTCTCTTATCTCCTTCCCAGTTCAAAATGCCTGCATCTCCTAATAGCTAGCATTCTCTTAGATCTGCAGTTGAGCTCCACAGACTCAAGCCTTAGCATGATCTTCTTTGTAGTTTTAGCCTTTTTCCAGAAAATCGGCTTAGTCTGCCCACCATAGCCACTCTGCTTCCTGTCATAACGCCATATAGAGAGAGTCCTTGCCCTTCTTATACTGTGTCACTTTGTGGGGTTCGTGCTTGCACACTTCTTACTGAAAGTCCAGCGAGTTTTAGGAACGTTCACCATGTTTCCGCCAGCGCTATCAGCAACGAAAGAAAGTGCTGTTATTTTCATTCATGACACTTTATTTCCTATATAGTACATACCAAAATTTGTGACCATTTCATTTGTTGAATATTGTACCTCAGGACAAAATCACACCCCATCCTCCAAGGGAAGAGATTCTCAACGTGGAGGGGGCAGGAGACACGGAGAACAGAGTGGCAAAAGCACAGAAAAGTCCACAGGCCCGTTGCATTGACCACAGTGAGTCACTCTGGGCAGTTCAACTGGCTAGGTCTGTCAACTCAGCAAGAGGGAACCAGCCGTTTACGCTCACGCTCAGAATTCTGATTTCACTTTTAGTCTACTTAGAGCAGCTCAACCCCTATGGTTCGAGCAGATTATACTGTTTTCATCCCAAGAACCTTTCTAGGAACCCCAAATGTTGTTCCTATTTGGTGGGTTTGCTAAGCAGTAACTGGGAGGGACGAAGATTGGGCGGAGAGTCCGAGCCCTGCCCTCGCGGGACTCTGGTATTTTGGGACCTAAGACTTTAAGATCTGCCCCCTCAGTGGTCTGAAAAGGCGGGTCAATAAGCCGAGCTGCCACCTCCTCTGGCTACCGGCTGGCTCTCATGTGTGTCCCGCTGTTCAATAACAGCTCTTCTTCCGGGACTTCCTGGTCGCCATGACCAATCAAAGTGTTCTTCCTGTCCTTATCATTGTCAGCCTGCTGCCAATCGGCTCGTCTCTACCAACGCCCCTTAAAGGTGCCGCCACTGCCCCCGGAGCGCCCGGGAACCAATTCCTGGGTTTTGGCCCCCACCTGCAGTATGGAGTCGTCTTGGGGGCGGCCTCGGCCCGAGGTCAACCTTCTGGTTCCAGCGGAACAGCAGGCCGCGATCTTCGGCAGCGGGCCAGGCCGAACGCCCTCCGAGCCTCCCTCAGGCCTCCAGGTGTCCGGAGAGGAAAAGGCCGAGAACGTTGGGGGCGCGAGCCGCCACCCCAGGGCGTCCCTGAAGACTTGGAGCTGCGGGGTCGTCCACCGGCAGGAACAGGACTCTCGAGAGGACAAGGCTGGGCCCCAAGGGACGCGGTCTGAGGCTGGGAGCCACCGAGGGGCTCCAAGCACAGAGCACGGCCCGCCCCTGTCCTCCCGGCACAAGGACCCTGAGCCGCCCGGAAACAAGCCTGCATCCGAGAGGGTCTGCCGTCTAGGGAGCCCGAGAAGCGGCGGGATGAATGTTGAGCAGCAGCAGGAAGAGGAAGACAACGATGAGGAGGCGGACAGGGCTGGGCGCTCGTTCTCTAGTCGCCTTCAGGACAGCCGCAGCCTGGATGGGTTGAGCGGGGCGTGTGGTGGCGCGGGTTCTGCAGAGTCCGGAGCCGGCGGCGGACGCCGGGCCACCATCTCCAGCCCCCTGGAGCTTGAGGGCACAGTGAGTCGCCACGGAGACCTCACCCACTTTGTCGCCAACAACCTGCAACTCAAGATCCGTCTGAGCGGCGTCCCTCCACCCCTGCCCCCTGCCCCTGTGAGGCCCTGCCCAACTCCTGCACCCACACCCACACCCACACCAGTCATCCCGCCCATCGACCCCGACGTGCTGCGGGATCTGGAGCGGCTGAGTCGGGAGCTGGGTGGCCGGGTGGACCGTCTACTTCGCGGATTGGGCGGCGCGGTGCAGGAGCTGACAGCGCTAAGCGTGGGCTGCATTCAAACCTACCGCGACGCCGTGGACTCCTTAGGTGAAGCCGTGGATATGAGCATCAAGGGCATGTACACCCTGCTGGCGCGCTGCGAGGAGCTGGAGCGGGCTTTGCAGCCGGTTCAGGGACTGGCGCGCCAAGTCCGGGATATCCGACGCACTCTGGAGGTGTTGGAGGCCCTATGCAAGTGACCGGAGGGCAGGAGATGTCGGGCCTGGCGAGGGCAGGGCCCAGTAGGGTCCTAAGGACTCTTCAAGGAGCCCTGGTGGGAACTGTTGGCTGAAGGAGGCCTATATGTTGGAGGCTCTTCCAGATCCATTTAGCTGGCAGGTGCCCATCCCCTGGGCTCTAGTCAGGTGTATATCGGGAAGTCCTAAGGGCTCTCCTGATGGGAAGGGGTGTTGCTCTGCTTCTATTCAGTTGGCCATCTGCAGCTACCCTGTTCTTTCCAACTTTTCTCTTTAGCTAGAGCACCACCCCTGGGAACACAGAGCTTTAGGTCTTGGCTTGAAGGTGAGGACCTGATTCCTGTATGTGATCAAGAGAAGGGAGCAGAAGAGGGCCCAGCCCCCACTGTGGCCATCCTGACTCCAAAGGCTGTATCTCAGGTGCCAGGGGCTGGGGGAGTTTGAGTGGTCCTTGGCCATCACCATCCAGGCAAGGATGCACACCTGCACATGGATAACCTCCTGCTTCTGCCCTCTGGCTTCTACCATACCACTTCCCCAACCAGGTGGAGCTGGGAGGCATGCATTGCATGGTGGAGGGAGTGAGGTGGGAGGTGTCTCACTGCTCTCAGGGTTCAGGTAGAATTGTTGCTGATTTTGAAGCCCACCTGTTGTGGAGTGTTCTAATCAGTTTTGGCTTTCTGAGTTTTTGTGGAATTAAAGTGCTGCTGCTGCTAAGGCTGAGGCTGTGTCTGTGTGGGTCTGCAGTGATTCATGAGCCAAAAGAATGGGAATAAGTGTTGATCTTGTGACCCCTGCTGGGAGTGGGGTGAGGGTCCCAGGCTTGATGGGGAAGAATATGGGGGTCCTGGTCTTAGGCAAGTAGATCTGAGGGGAGATGTGACACAGATAATCACTCACAGGGGCTAAGAGATCCGGTTAAAGGAGAAACACATCCAGGTGATCTAGAAGAGGAAGGGAAGAGGTTGTCTTCTCAGGTCCTGATGGACAGGCAGGGGCTGGGTGGATTTGACATCTTGGCTCTGGAGGAATACTGGGAACAACTGTCAGCTCCATTCTCCACCATTTTCCACACGCTGCTGATCAGTCCCACGTGTAATAATTTTAAGAAAAACTTGACCCTGGCACTCTGTTTACAATTCACATAGTAAATTCAGGAGTTGTATGATAGTCATAAAATTTAGAAACAGATCACAGAAAACTCTGGTTTCTCTACAGTTATCCTTCTCAAGACACTCTTAGTTTAGACTGAACTCCAACATGTTTCTCTAATGGGTAAGAAACGTTCCAGGGTGGGAAATGTTGCTTCCTGAGCTTTCCCTAGTTACATTAGGGAAATGTCTCAAAAAGCAAGTAGAATTACTAAACTTCCAAAGTCTCATGTCTGGCCTGTACGGGGATCGAACCCGCGACCTTGGTGTTACTAGCACCACACTCTAACCAACTGAGCTAAGCGGCCAACTGGTTGTTTTTGTTTAAAATAAAGCTATGTAAATTTATATTACTGTTCAGCCTTCTCAAGAGAAATTTATTTTGGGTAGGAGACAAAAATGTAGAATACACAAACTGACTAGGAGACCATTTAGGAAAGTGACGACCAGGTTACGATACTGAAACAGACGATGCGACCTCAGTGCTTGGTTGCAGGTTGAGGCGCAAATTTGAGGTGTTCTTGAGGGCCACAAGACGTCAGGATGCTGGAGGGCACCTGGAGGATTCTGTGAGAGAATGGATTCGTGGGAAATTGTATGGGTCGGATGCAGCAAGGTCCTGTGGCTCTCCTCGCAGAAGGATATGCAAAAGCAGGGAATAAACGGAGGCACCGCTGGGACTCGAACCCAGGATCTCCTGTTTACTAGACAGGCGCTTTATCCATCTAAGCCACGGTACCTTCTGCGAAAGTACTGCTACCGAATTTCCCAGGCCAAGTCAGCTCCATACAACTATACAAGAGCTCTTCAGGATTTCAGAATAAAGTAAAAGAGAGAATGGAAGACAACGCTGGGGAAGCGAAAGAGCGCGAGGGAGGCATGGCGACGGATCGGCACTGCGGCAGCCTGACGCTATAAAATTAGGAAGAGGGCACAACAACCACATACCGACGAGGATGGGATTCGAACCCACGCGTGCAGAGCACAATGGATTAGCAGTCCATCACCTTAACCACTCGGCCACCTCGTCTACAAGGAAAGAACTCAGGCTGTCTTCTCTGGGGCTTGAATTCTTACTTCCTGCCTGTTGAGGCCGCTTCGGTTGTGAAGGAAAAGCATTCGCGGGAAGTCTGCCCAGCACGGCGTAGATAGAGGATTTGTCGGGCGGAGACCGAGCGACCTCCTCGCCTATTTGGTCACCTGACCCTCCTCTCTCTGGGCTGAGCGGTCCGGAGCTGCGTTTTCCCCAGGAGTCCCGATATCCGCCCAGAATTAAGTTACCCGGATCCGCCCCAAAAGCTCCCTACGAAATTATTGGGATCCTCCGACCGGGTAGCCTCAGGACTTCGAGCCAGAAAGCCTTCCTTTCCCTCTCCTGAGAAATACTGCTGCTTCTCTGACCCGAGCGCAGGGTTCGACCACAGTCGAAAAGAAGAGGAATTAAATAAAAACAGCCGAAGTCTTGTTAAAAAACGGACTGACCCCGACGTGATTTGAACACGCAACCTTCTGATCTGGAGTCAGACGCGCTACCGTTGCGCCACGAGGTCGGCTAGCCATTTCGCTCACCAGATATTCCCTTGACCACTGTGCAGCCATGCAGCGCCAGTCCTGCGATCAACACCTGGGAGGCTCCGCGCCTGTAGCTCAGGCAGCTAAGGCGCCAGCCACATACACCAGAGCCGGTAGGTTCAAATCCAGCCTGGGCCTGCCAAACAACAATGACAACTACAACCAAAAATAGCCGGGTGTTGTGGCGGGTGCCTGTAGTCCCAGCTACTTGGAAGACTGAGGCAAGAGAATCGATTAAGTCCAGGAGTTGAAGGTTGCTGTGAGCTGTGATGCTACTGCACTCTACCCAGGGCGACAGCTTGAGGCTCTGTTTCAAAAAAAAGAAAAAAGACCTGGGAGAAATTTCTGAGGATTCTCCTGCCCTTCTCAACACGCTCTACTCCCTACCCCTTGACGTGTGGGGCGAGCTAACTAGTAGCCCACCATCTTTGAGATTAAGTCCTAACTACTTAGCTGCACTCCAAAGTCAGGCAAAAGAATGCTACTGTTAGGCATGTGTGCTCTGGAATCAGGTTGCCGGAGTTCATAAACAGGCTTTGCTATTTACCAGCTGTATAATTAGGCTGATTTGTTGTCTTTGTTTTGTTTTAGGTACAAGGTCTCACTGTGTTGCCCAGGCTGGAGTGCTGTGGCTATTCGAGACGCAATGATTGGACACTACAGTTTGGAACTCCTGTCCTCCGGCAATCCATCCACGTATCCTTCTTGCCTCCCCAGTTCCTGGGACTACAGGTGGCCACGGCTCAAGAATAAGAGAAATAAATGTGTTGTTGAAGCCACCCAGCATTTGGTATTTGTTATGGCAGCCGAACCTAAGACACAATAAATGAGTAAATTAATAAATAAAATGTTTACAAATCGCCAGGGCACAGAGGCTCACTCCCGTAATTCTAGCACTCTGGGAAGCCTAGGTGGGTAGATTGCTTGCACTCAGGAAGTGGAGACCAGCCTGAGCAAGAATGAGACACTACATACACACAGAAATAGAAAAATTAGCGGGGCATCTGTAGTTCCAGCTACTCAGAAGGCTGAGGCAGGAGTAACCCTTGAACCCAGGAGATGTAAATTGCTGTGAGTTAGACTGACACCATTGCACTCTATCCTGGGCAACAAATTGAGACTCTGTCTCAAATAACAACAACAACAACAACAACAACAAATTATTGAGGACTACTGAGAGATAAGAATGTGGAGGTTAAGAGCTCGGAGTTTTAAGACCCATTACAGGCTCAGTGGCCTCAAACAGTTAATAAATATATGGCTCTATGCCTCAGCTTCTTTATTGAGTCTACCTCATAGAGGGTGAAGTTTAAAAGACAACACATTTGAAATTTCAGCAGCATTCAACACAGTTGATTACTCCTTCTTTCTTAAGATTTTTTTTTTACTTACTATCCTATTTTCTTGCTGGCTCACTGGTGCTTTTTCATAGTGCCAGTCTCTGCTGGTGCTATTTAGTGTCCAGATAACAAGGCTTTAGCACCAGAGAAACGTTTAGAATCCCAGTCTTTATCATGTATTAGCTGTTATTTTGGCAATTTGCTTAACTTTTTCTGAGCCTTTTAAAATTATGTAACATGTAGGTTATTCCTACCCAGCTTGGTTTTCAGAGATGTGTTGAGGATTAAACAGTTTTCTTTTTTTCCTTTTTTTTTTTTGCCCTGGATAGAGTGCTATAGCGTCATAGCTCACAGCAACCTCAAACTCCTGGGCTCAAGCTATTCTCTTGCCTCAGCCTCTCCAAGTAACTGGGACTACAGGCGCCCGCCACAATGCCCAGCTATTTTTAAGAGAGGAGGGGTGGTCTTTAACTCTTGAGCTCAGGCAATCCACCTGCCTTGGCCGCCTCAAGTGCTAGGATTAGCAGTGTCAGCCACCGCTGCTGGCTGATTAAAGATTTAGTTCATCTTGCTCAGGAGGCTGACACAGAAGGATCACTGGAGCTCACAAGTTTCAGACCAGCTTGGGTAAAAAGGCAAGACACTTCCTCTTCATTAAAAAGTTCTTTTCAGGCGCAAGCCACGTACAAGGCGCCAGCCACGTACACCTAAGGTGGTGGGTTCGAATCCCCAGCCCCG